GTGGGGTTGCTGCAGCAGCGCGGGGTCTGCTGCACGGACGGGGAGGAGCAGCAGCAGCAGACTTCAGCGACAGCCATACCTTGCAGCAGCAGCAGCAGCAGCAGCAGCAGCTGAGGCGCCGCACAGAGCGAAGCCAAAGCCCCCCGCCTCCGTATGAAGTTATTCCGGTTGATACTGATCCTCTTGGGGTAAGAGACAACGCTGCTGCTGTTGCTGCTGCTGTTGCTGCTGCTGCTGTTGCTGCTACTGTTGTTGCTGCTGCTGCTGTTGTTGCTACTGCTGTTGCTGATGCTGTTGTTGCTGCTGCTGCTGTTGCTGCTGCGCTGACGCTATCTGCGCTTCGTGTGCAGCGGTGATCGGCTCTGCTGCTGGTTCTGCTGTTGCTTTAGCAGCAGCTGCTGCTGCTTCAGATGGTGCTGCTGCTCTAGCTGCCTCTGCTGATGCTGTAGCTGCTGCTGCTGCTGCTGGTGTTGGATTTGCTGCTGCAGGTGGAGGAGCTCTCACCGCGTGCGGGTGCGGCTTCATCTGATGCTGCAGCAGCAGCTGCTGCTGCTGCGGCTGCTGCTGCTGCTGCAGCAGCAGCAGGGATTCAAGTAGACTCCGATGTATGTCGAGCATTTTTCTGTTGTTGTTGAGGCTTCTCTTTGCTTTTTGTCTTAGTTTTGTTTACTTCTTTTGTTTGTTTGTTGCTGCTGCAGCTTCTGCTGCAACTGCTACCTCTGCTGCTACTGCTGCTGCTGCAGCTGCTACTGCTGCTGTTGCTGCTGCTGCTGTTCTTGTGTCTCCCGTTGCTGCTGCTGTCTCTTCGTTTTATGTTTTGTTTTTATATTTTTTGTTATTTCATCCGCGTATATTCTTCTGTCTATTTATTTATTTTTATTTATATATTTTGCTCTCTCTCTGTCTGTCTCCTTTTCTGCTGCTTGCATGTGCTGGTTTTTTGTTTTTGTGTTTAAGGGTTTAGGGTTTGTGTTTGTTGCTTCTCTTTATATCTTCAGGGGTTTAGGGTTTAGGGTTTAGGGTTTGTTTGCGCTTGCTGCAGGAGGCGGTGCTGCAGGCAGCCATAGCGCAGAGCCTCATTGATATGTAGTGTGGGGTTGCAGCAGCAGCAGCAGCAGCAACAGCAGCAGCAGCAGCATCACCAGCATCACCAGCAGCACCAGCAGAACCAGCAGCAGCAGATGAAGGGCTAGAGAGGAGACAGCAGCAAGAGCGATTAGGTTGTTGTTGTTATTGTTGTTTAGTCTCTTTAGGGTTTAGGGTTTAGGGTTTAGGGTTTGGGGTTGTTGTTGTCTATTTTAATCCTCCCAATCCTGTCTCTCTTTGTCTTTTTCTTTTTTTCTGTTTTTAACTTTTGACTGGCTTTATACTCTTCTTCTTTGCCTGCTTGCTGGGGTCTGCTGCTAGCTGCTGCTAGCTGCTGCTGCTAGTTGCTGCTAGCTGCTGCTGCTGGCTGCTGCTAGCTGTTGCTAGCCGCTGCTAGCAGCAGCAGTAGCAAAAGCTCGTAGGAGCAGTAGCTAGTAGCAGCAAAAGCTAGCAGCAGCAGTAGGTAGCAGCAGCAGCAGCAAAAGCTAGCAGCAGCAGCAGCTAGCAGCAGCAAAAGCTAGCAGCAGCAGCAGCAGCAGCAGCAGCTAGCAGCACTTAGCAGCAGCAGCTAATCTCTTTTTGTTGTCTTTGTTGTTTGCTTAAGACAGCAGGAAGGGTCTCCTGTCTCTTCTCTTATGCGGCTGTCTTTTGTCTCTCTTTGCTGCTGCTGCTGCTGCTGCTGCTGCTGCTGCTGCTGCTGCGATGAGCCGAAGGAGACAATCTGCGATTTGCTGCTGCTTTTCTTCTTTTCTTTTTATTTCTTTATCTTATAACGGATGTCCGCAGTTGCTCTTCTTTTATTATTATTAATTTGTCTCTTTAATTCATTTATTGCTGTTTGTTTGTTTTTGAGGTGCTTCTTCGTGGCTTTTGCTTACTGTCGCTTGCTGCTGCATGCAGCAGCTGCCTATACACCCCAAATCAAACGCAGTGTATACGCAGCTTTCGCTTAGATGCCTTTATATATATAACAAATAATATATATAATGCATAAATATACATTATATATATTATTTGTTTATATATATATATATATATATATATATAACAAATAATATATATAATGCAT